TGCATTGTTGCCCAGGCTGGGAGTGCAATGGCATGATCTCAGCTCACTGCAACTCTCCACCTCCCGGGTTCAAGCGATTCTCCTGCCTCAGCCTCCCTGAGTAGCTGGGATTACAGGCATGCGCCACCACGCCCGGCTAATTTTGTATTTTCAGTAGAGATGGGTTTACACATGTTGGTCAGGCTGGTCTTGAACTCCGACCTCAGGTGATCCACCAGCACGGCCTCCCAAGTGCTGGGATTACAGGCGTGAGCCACCATCCTGGCAGACACCTTCTCTTGTCTTTAGTTGCCCTATTTATTTATTTATTTATTTATTTATTTTTGAGACGTAGTCTCGCTCTGTCGCCCAGGCTGGAGTGCGGTGGCCAGATCTCGGCTCACTGCAAGCTCCGCCTTCCGGGTTTACACATTCTCCTGCCTCAGCTCCCGAGTAGCTGGGACTACAGGCGCCCGCCACCTCACTCCGGCTAGTTTTTGTTATTTTTTACTAGAGACGGGGTTTCATCGGGTTAGCCAGGATGGTCTTGATCTCCTGACCTCGTGATCCGCCGTCTCGGCTGCCCAACTCCGCTTTTTTGTTGAAAGGGAAGCTCTGCCAAGGACCTCTTTCACACTTAATCGCTGACCTAAATAATTTCTTCTACCTCGCTTTATCACATTCATTTATCAGCGGTTCGGGAGATGATGGTGTTCAGCCAGTCAGTCCGGGCTACCACAAATCTCTGTGGATTTACAGGCTTGAGCGAGCCGCTAGTCTTGAACTACTGACCTCAGGTGATCCACCTGCCTTGGCCTCCCAAAGTGCTGGGATTACAGCTCAGTGAGCCACTGAGCCCGGCCTCAAAGGTCTTTATTTGAATCTTGGATGGGAAACACTTTAAATTCTTAACAATTAACCTGACTAAAAGCCCTTTTTTCACCATTAATAAAACTTCAGCTTTGGCCTGGACAGTACTAGCATTGAAATAATTTGGGGTTTGGATGCTTCTGACAAGTCTTCTGTATGTCCAATGGCAAGCAGGAGGATGCTGCAGAGTGAGCACCCATAGGGCCATCATTTGTGGATTTCCCAGTGGAATGACCTGTGACGCAATCGCATGAAACAAAAGGGGCACAGAAAATGTTGATCCATCCTTGTTTCTCATCTCATCACACAATGTAGGTTTAATTTAATTAGCCTGTCATGCATATTAACAGAAAAGATAGGACATCAAGATGAGATTTCTTTCTGAAAGTTAAATTGGAAGTAATATCTGGCCAGGTGCAGTGGCTCACACTTGTGATCCCTGCGCTTTCAGAGGCTGAGGCGGGTGGATCACCTGAGATCAGGAGTTCGAGACCAGCCTGGCCAACATGGTGAAACCCCATAGTTACTAAAAAATACAAAAATTGGCCAGGCGTGGTGGCACATGCCTGTAGTCCCAGCTACTTGGGAGACTGAGGCTGAGGCAGGAGAATCACTTGAACCTGGGTGGCAGAGGGTTGCAGTGAGCAGAGATTATGCCACTGGACTCCAGCCTGGGTGACCGAGCAAGACTCTGTCTCAAAAAAAGAAAAAAAATAAATAAATAAAAGTAATAAAATAAAAAAATCTGTTGCAGGAAAAAAGTTTCTCCAATTAACTCTGACCTTGCCCAAGGGGCTGTCCGCCATGACAGCTTCCCCAGAGTTCCCTGTGACATCCCTTACTCACTCCTCTTGGGCTCCCAGGGCACGTGCTATGCTTCCTTTGGCACGGTTTTCTCTCACACCAGCAGAGAGGTCTATTTTCTCCCCAAGGGCAGAATCTCTGCCTGGAACATATGATACTTTACAAATGGTTTAACTCTTTGTGCATCATCTCACTGGTCTGTTGAGACTGCACTCTGGTTCCCTAAGTGTAATGAACATTCTGCTGTGTTTTGGTAATCAGTATCTTTCTTTTCCCCCTTTCTGTGGTTGACACTCTGTCCTTTTTTCTTAATCAAATATTGATATATAAATTATAGTTATTAGAGTTTACTCATTACTATTTTGTTTCTTCAAAGCAAAGAGAAAAAAATATTTTAACAAAACTGTTTTAAATGTTGGCTTCTGAGGTGAAATTAAATGCCATCTTACTAAAAGAATACTGAGTTCTAAACATCATTTTGTACGGTCTATAAAAATACCTCATATAAATAGTTGCTTTTGAAACTTGGCTAGGTTGAAGGATTATGTGGGTCTCTCAGGAATTGTGGTGGTGGTGCATTTATACTATTGAATCGAGTCGGTTTTCATTGTGTGTGTGTGCGCGAGTGTGAAAATCAACCCCCTAGGGAGAACTACGTATTACTAACTTTCACTGTGGAAGAAAGAAACTGACTTTGGTGTAAATCATGACATGTTCAAGTTCAGCTCGTGCCTGTGAGTTTCTATTTTGTATCTCATGGTCTTGGATCCAGGGGAGGGTGACAAGTTCACAGGCTTTGTCCGGTGGCTTTCTGTTGTGAGTTGTGTGCTGAAGGTATAGTGTCTCCTCCTAATAAATCCACTCCCGTTCCACAGTCTACAATGGCTCCACCAACCCATAGGGAGTGGTCTTTCCTCTGCACAGCAAGAATCATAGTACATCAAAATGTCTTTTATTTGAGACACAAAAATGCAAAATTGCTGAGATATCAAACATTTCCCGATCAGCTACAATACTGCCACTATGTACAAAAGATCTGATGATAAATGTGCACACATATAAAAATACAGTATGCATTACCTATGTACAGTACATGTGCAAAATGTATGGCATTCAAACATGATATGGAATTGATTTCAGGGGTGCAAACAGCAAATACAAAGGCATCATGGTTTTTCTTTTAAAAAACAACATAAAGGCAATACATGAATGGACCCCCGATTGCCATAATTTTGTGTGATTAAACGAGTGCTTTAGCAAGCAGGGCTCTGCAGATTGGTATCTGTCTCCTTTTTTTCATAAAGTGAGATGCTAAGACATAATGTGACAATGAAAAGAAGAAGAGAAACACCTATCACATTGCATTTCTACTGCAAGCAAGAAAAGAAAACTAATTTCTACATAGAAAAAAAACTTTGTATTACTACTGAATGTTATTCTTAAACCAACAAAACGACTCTATGCTATTTTACATGAAAACAATAGAGAAATATCTACATCTTTGTGAAAATTATAACCTTAAATGGATAATACCTTTTTGGGACTGATTTTTGAGATCTCATTAGTCTCAAATTTTAAATAAAAAGTGCCTCCTTTTGGCAAATACTTGGCAATGCCTTTGGTTCCTTTAAAGCAAGTTTGCATTACTGTTGGTTACTTGAGGTCAAGTACTTTTGGTAGATACTAAACCCTTTCCTAAATGCTTCTTCTTCCTACCAAATTAGCAAGATTCCTTACAGCATCACGTAGAGAGGTAATTGTTATGACTTTCAGTATTCTATAAACTTTGTTAAAGCTTTGTCTTAGTAGTTGGCATAAAGCTCTGTTAAACACTATAGATGTGATGATATCTCTGATAATATATTTTATTTGATTCCCGACAGCACCTTGTAGATCCGAGATTGCCATCTTATTGTCACAAAACTGTGACATCACAGAGCAAAGTGTTTGCATGGAGGGTAAGAGCTCTTCTGTAAACATGTGCAGCTTTTCGAATTGTAGGCCTTCCATGAAAGATTTCAGGTAGAAACCCTTTGTAATGATGTTTCCTTGGATACTGCAAGAAAGGGTGAATGCGGAAAAAACACGGACCTGCTTATTGCCATGCAGACAGAGTCACTTTACAAATAAAAATGTAGCTCAGAGAGACTGCTGAATGAGCAAGTTATTGAAGGTTTGAACCAGGAAAAAAAATTACTACCTCTTAGTTGTTTTCCAGTTTTGACTGAAATCACTTAAAAGATGAGTTGAAATGCAGTTAGGATGCTCTCCAGATACACACTGATGCACTTGTCAGCTATGTTCCTTGAAAAACCTGGCCTTCCAGTTAACGTTCTTTGATAAGTTTGGGATAGTTTCGTGGCCTCTAGGGCGGTGGGGTGGTGTGTATGGGTGTTCTGTTGTCAGTATTCAACATTCATGTTTACAGCAGCGGATATTGAAAAATGGAGAGTTATTTGTGAATTCGGTTACATTGACACGTGTTGCTCTGCTGGTAGACACGGAATAGCTGTTCTCTTTACATTTCTCTAAAAAGTCCCCAGCGGCACCATGAGCTCCCCACCCAGGTGACAGCCAGGACTTCTGTGAGGCTAGCAGCAGGTGGGTGCATGGAAGCTGGTGAGGATGTATACTGAAATGTGGGCTTCTCACAAATATTTTAAACCCTGCCAAAGTGCTTTGCCACGTCTCTAAGGCCAAGTCCATTTGAGGACAGTAAAGGGACTATCCCATCACTTGTGGGGACAGCCATTTTGTCAACTGCTATGGCTGATTTCAGCCTGGGAATTCTGAAAGGACTCTGAAGAAAGCTATGCTGCCTGGAATGATCTGGAGCTGAGGGTCCAGGAAGCCTGAGTCAGCTCTGGTGACAAAATAGGTAGTGCACTCCTGAGCCATCGCTCAGGGTATGCTGACTGCACAGTTCAGAGGTGCTATCTCATTACTATGACTTTGCCTTCCATAGGCAGCAGCTTGCAGGCAACACCACCCCGCCTTTGCCACTGTTTCTAAACAGTGCTGAAAGCCAAAAAGTGTCAGTTACATGGATCACAGAACCATGCGGCTTTTAAGAAGGAAATTTAAATAACATCTCTTTAGAATTACAAAAATATTCATATGAAACAAACACAATAGTATCTAAGCAAGAAATTCCACAAATTCAGAATACATCTATGTACAATTATGTGGCAATATTATACAGTAGATTGCACATTTCAGGAAAAAACACTAGAACGTGAACCACTAACACTGTCCTATGAGGTTTCCTAATAGATGCTTTGCTGAAATGTACAAGATGACCACATACCCCTAGACTTTCCAAGACTTTACAGAAGTTTTGGTATAACTTTTAAAATTCATCCCACCCCCAGTAGGATGATCTGATTATCTACATACAGCACAAAGGTAAGGCTGACACTACTGTGTTTTGAGAACATGTAGGAAAGTAAGATGGGGATGTGAGATAATGCCTTTCTAGGAGTTACTTTCTTGGCAGTATGATACTTTGCAATATGATACACAACAGTACCACTGCTTAAACCACACACGTGCATAATGAAAATTCAACTGGCGACTTTGACTTGTGCTGTAATGGCTGTGACACTAACCTAAACAACAACAACCAGTCTTTAGCCAACATCCACCCTTTCTCACTGCACTCACCATCACGTGCACTGAGTCGGGTCAGAGGGGCCTTGTTTACAGGGCCTCATCTTTGGTCATGTCACATGAGTGTGGGCACACAGCGTGTCCTCACTCTGACCTGGAACATGCAGTGGAAATCCTGGAGAGCAGCACTCGTGTCACAGGTGCCTGGCTGGTGACTCAAGCCAGGGGAGAGGAGGGTCAAGTGGAATGGTGCAAATGAAGTGGCTTGCAGAATTAATGGGCTAGAGACGCCTTGCCTTTTTAAAAATGAAATACTGGTTTATAAAGGTTTAAACACATATGTGAAGTGGGGACTTTAGCAATTCATAGTCAAGAGAGTAGGCTAATGAGATAGCATTTTTTTTTGCACTGCACTGTGTATTTTTGGAGAGCAACCTTCCTGTGGCATGTTTCAAACCCTATTTTAAAAAGCAAAAAAGGGACCAGAGAGCTAGAAAACTTATCTATACAATTCAGGATTATGGAAATATAAAGTTATTCAATGAGAGTCAATGGCACTAGTGTTCGGTTACCTCCTACAGTCCCACTGATATTTGGTGCTAATTTAATACGCCATTCAAATCTGAATGAAGAAGATGCTCAGGGTCTGAGTATGGACCTGATAAGCCCAGACAGAAACCCTCAGCAAAAACACTGTGGCCAAGAACTGTAAGAAAAATTCTTTCCCAAGTAAATAGCCTGGCCCTGGAGACAGGCCCCTCTCAATGGAACTGACTCGAGGATTCACAGAACGTCTAGTGTGGTAAACTCTTGTAGGGCTTGGTCAAATGACGGTGTTCTGGTTAACAGAGAGTTACTGTATCCCATGCGTTGGTTTACCAATTTCTGAACACTTAAACTATTCATCACAGACTACACTGAGCACAGTGGCCTCTGCCTTGAACCGCCTGGAAGGCACATGAGCACTGTTAGTGCCTTTGAGTCAGGAAGTGCCAGTGAGCAGAGGGCTTCAGCGTGCTCATGCTGGAAAAGCAGACTTTTGTTACACATAGTAAAATTTATAAACCACACACACACAAATCAGAAATAAGATCAGCTCTTAGGCAAAACACAAACCCAGAAATGATTCACAAATTCTTTCCAAATAACGGGTCAGGCTGCCTCTCGCATGTCAGTGTGGAACATTTACCATTTTGTGACCCAGGGGAACCAACCTGACCCGAGGGTTTACACAAGGGTGAGGTGGAGAGCACAATATTATTACTTAAGAAAAACCTCCATGCTCTTTTGGTAGATTTCAGTTTTTTGTTATTTACATTTTGTCATATACCTCAATGACTAGCTTGAAATAATCCTGTGATAGTTGGCATTTTAGAAAATTCTTAAGAAATGACTTGACTTAACAAATATGTAATAACTGTTTTCTATATAAAAAACACTAATAAAGCCTCCAGTTTTTCAATCTTAGGCTTGACAATATAGTGAGAGCTCTGGTAGAACATCCAGTTACAAGCCTGTAAAATGATAACCAGGGTTAGTGACAGAAGAAAGAGGGCCAGGGCGGGGACCTGGAGGCCCACCTCATGGCACAGTCTGACCTGTACTCATCATGGGAATGTCCTGGGTAGATGACAGACCTTCCCCTTACCTTCCATTCTTCTAACTCACCAGCTCAGAAAGATATTTCATGCTAAAGCCTTTTCTTGGTTCTTTGAGATGGGTCTGGTTACCTGAAAGTTAGTCAGCAATTCTTTAAATACAGAAATACACGTGGCTCAAGTACTCTAGAAATATTCGAGCTATTAAAAAAGTAGGACCTTGGATACCCATTTTCTTACCCCAATGTAGGCTGTACATATCACAATGTCAGAGCATACATACAAATGTCTAATATATACATTAAAATCAATCTAACCAACCCAGAAGGTTGCTAATAGAATTTTCAGTGTTATCAGTATACCTGGACTTCTGACAGTATTTTGTAGGTATCTTCTGTTTATGGTGAAAGATCTTGCATTTAAATTTAAACTTGGAAATATAAAGTATGATTCCAAAAATCACAAAATAAACTACAACATCAAAAAAAAACAACACAGGTTTCTGAATAGAACCAAAAGTCTTTAGCCAGAAGCGGTCATTGAACCGGCCAGGGCTCTCTACTGCCTTTGATCTCTGCCGTGTCTCGGGCCTGGCTCTGGCCATCTCTAGGAAGTACCAAGTGCAGTGACCTCTCACCTCCCTCACATCAGCCTCAGTTTTTGAGTGGAGCTGTCTGCCTTTTATTTAGGGTCTTAAAGTTATCAGAGAGATTTAAATGTAGTTAATTACCAGAATCCTAACGTCACTGCTGCATATATTACTCTTCTTTGTTTTTTATGTAAAGGTACTTTTCATTCTTTACTGAAGTCTGGAGAAACATATGAGTCGTCTTTGACTGGTGTGTTTTTCAGAAGGCCCTGTGCTATGTTAAACTGTAGAAATTCACTACTGAACACAATGAAATGTTTTCAAACTTGGGTTCCAGGCTATGACCTTCCACCTATTCTTTCTGTGACAACATATTTTGATTGCAACAATGCAACTATAGAGCTATCTCTAAAAACTGACCTTTTAGAATCTTCATGTTCTTAAACCTCATCAACTCTCAGATAAGAAATCTGTGACGTTAGTCCCATGGTAGTGGTAGGTCCTGTGGGTCTAGAAAGTCGGCGGAGAACATGCTTGGGGTGGTGGTGCTGAGAGGAGTGAGTCCTGAAGAGGAGTTGGGCATGGTAATGTCCAACCACTCCATGTTATCCAAGTTTGAGTCTGACAGGTCGAGAGACAGACAGGGAGTACCTGCAGCAAACTGGGTCTCAGAAGTCTCCATGGGTGAGTGTGAATGGTCCAGCATACCTGAGTGACTCAGCAGGTCATTCTGGAGGTCCTCGATCAGAGAGAAGGGCTCTCTGTCTTCACTGCTGCTTTGTAATGGAGCAATTTCATTGGCTGAGGGTAAAGTTCCATCCAAGAAAGCTTCTAGTTGGTTCTCTAAGCTGGCAGATAAACTGCCCATAGGTTCTAAAGATACAGGTGGTGCCATTTGGACTTGGGGTGGTGGCCGGGACACCACTGTATTCACTGGCATTGTGGTGATGCTGGCTGTCACTGGTCTCATTTTGGAAATAGGAGAAGGTTCTTCTTTTATGGGGAGGGAGATCTCTGTGTAAAATAAATGAAGTAATTAGTAACTAAAGATTTACTACTACTTAAAAATTTTTATTAATTACTAGGACAGTTACTTTACTATTATGCGATTCCTTCTACGCACGTCCATCTTAGAAGTAGGAAGAGAATGCTATTGGTCAGGTACAATCCTTGACAACCTTTAGGATGATGGATCATTTTAGTTAAATAGATAAACATAAAAGTTTATTACATTCTTTTTTATTGTAAATTTAGTCAGCAGACTGTCCAAAGCCAGTTTATTACATTCTGATATGCTTTAAATTCTTTTCAGTAAGACTAAGCATTAAAAGCAGTTATATCTCACTAGATAGGAATCAGTGGTTTCAGATTATTTTATCTTTGAGTCCTTATTTTGTCATTTAAAGTTTTAAGATAGGGCTCATATCATCCTATGAATCTATCTATAGCAGCATGATACTCCTAATATAAATGTTGAAATGTACATCCTGAGTTTGTGCTGAGACATGAAGTACATCCTCATGTTATAAAAGAGGTAATTCTATTCTTCTTTCCTTCCTTTTTTTTTTTTTTATCATTACAGTTGGACTGGGTACCCAATTTAGCCAAGTGCATTCTGTGTAAAGTTCTGAAAATATACAATGGCATTTGATTTCATTTCTGAATTAAAGCTAACACATGGTCCCTCTGATCCTTTTCTTTTAAGTTGAGGTGGATCACTTGATTATTTCTTTCACTTTTTGGTCTTGTTTTCTGAGTTTATATAAAATTTTAATTTGGTAAATGTCTTCATTATGTGTTATTCCCTGCCAGATCAAGTAGCAAATTAACAGACCATCTTCTATAAATACTAGAGTTCACTAAACTACATATATTAATAGAGTATCTTTAAAAATTTTATGAGGATATGATTGGTTTCATTTATATGCAGATACACTAGGAAAAATAAATTTAATTAACAATAGCTCTTAAAGCTCAATGATTGGTATGTACAAATGGCTGAGAGAAGGAACTTACAATTTGATTCTTATAAATGAATCGTCAACTGTGTGTACTGCATTTATTTTTGAATGGTTTGTTACTTTTAGTTATCAGTAGTCATCTCTAAAACTGTTTTGAAAGCTTTAAGTGTAATCTAAGTAACTATTCTTTTTATTTTTGTTATTTTTATTTTTTTGAGACGGAGTCTTGCACTGTTGCCGAGGCTGGCTGGAGTGCAGTGGCATGATCTCAGTTCACTGCAGCCTCTGCCCCTGGGTTCTGGTGATTCTTCTGCCTCTTAGCCTCCTGAGTAGCTGGATTACAGGTGCCCTCCACAATGTTCAGCTAATTTTTGTATTTTTAGTTTCACCATGTTGGCCAGGCTGGTCTTGAAGTCCTGACCTCAGGTGATTTGCTTGCCTTGGCCTCCCAAAGTGCTGGGACTACAGGCAGGGCCAGGCACAGTGTCACTAGTAACTAGTCTTATAACTAACTATATAAAACTTGGTTCTCATTATTACTGATGTTAGTAGACAATAAGATGAAATAATATACTTATTAGATACTTCGTCATAAAAAAAAAATCCCATTTAGAAAATAGCTTGATTGTTTGTGTCACATTTTAATTTCCAAGTTTAAGGCGCCTGCCACCACACCGGGCTAATTTTTGTATTTTTAGTAGAGACAAGGTTTCATCATGTTGGCCAGGCTGGTCTTGAACTCCTGACCTCAAGTGATCCACCTGCCTCAGGCTCCCAAAATGCTGGGATTATAAGCGTAAGTCACTGGAGTTGGCCAGCTTAAATTATTTTTGTAAGGCCAATATAATTCTTAGCAAAAAATACTATTGGCGTTATGTAGAGCTATAGTCAAATATCAATTCTCTATGTCAACGTCAACTTCAGTGTCAAATGATACATGCTATAAATGGAGAACTTCTGATCACTATTTGAAAATTCAAATAAAACTTTCATCAGGGTAATTTTAAGACTACTCTAAATATGCAAATACTATCCAGGATTTTTTTTTTAAAAATATTGATTTTTATACTTATTTTTAAAGATATGTAAGCTGAGGCAATATCCTTATTCCTTTTGTGGCTAATGTCCCTTTTAAATAAAGATGATATAAATCTAAGATTTCATATTATATTGTAGAAAATGCTTTAGCATTGACTTTGAATTTTAAGAAAGATACTGGAGCTCATGCTAGGTAGCTTGATGTCACATAATTAAGGTAGTATTGTAATGTTTTCATCCCATTACAAAGACATACGCATGGAACAAGTTTTGAAGCTTTTCAACATGGAATTTAAATCTGGTTCTGCTTTGCTATCTTGTCTTTGTTTTTTAGCAGGCATCTATCTGTGGATAAATCTCACGTTGTATTACTGTTTTAAGCTATCACGGTTCACTGCAGCCTTGACCTCCTGGGCTCCAGCAATCTTTCTACCTCAACTCCCTAGTAGCTGGGACCCCAGGGGTGTGCCACCATACCCTGTTCATTTTTAAAATTTTTTGTAGAGACGAGGTCTCATTATGTTTCCCAGGCTGGTCTTGAACTCCTGGGCTCAGATTCCCAAAGTGCTGGGATTACAGATGTGAGCCACCGCGCTTGGCCATAAGTTCTTTTAATGGCCTATATTTAACAGATTTTAAAACAGTAAATTCAGTTAGAAGAACACGTTTCTCAGTGTCTAAAGATAAGCTACGAGTACTTAAGAAAAGCTTTCATGTACTTGTGTTAAGAGATGCCTTCCTGTGAGGATCTGATGTGACTTTTGACTTACCTCCACTCTTAATGAGGATATCAAAGAGGTCATCCATCTGCTGACTGTGTGCGTTGGAAATCTACAATGAAGCAGAGTACAAATTAGGTTTCTTTCATACAAACCTGGAAGCATTATACAATTAGGAGTCCTAAGGGACTTTCTAGATGATTTAGTTCTAATCTATCATGTGATAATTTTCAAAACACTGAGGTCACCTGAGAAGTTAAGCCATTTACCCAAGCTGTACAGCTGCTTAGTTGACACAGCAAGAACAGGGCTAGTTAGTACCCAGCTCCACTGACTTCTATGCTTCCCTTTTTTTTCTATCACTGAATTGCATTTTGAGAGGCCTCTAATACCTTATTTTATTTTATTTTATTTTTTTTTTTTGAGACGGAGTCTCGCTCTGTCACCCAGGCTGGAGTGCAGTGGCCGGATCTCAGCTCACTGCAAGCTCCGCCTCCTGGGTTTACGCCATTCTCCTGCCTCAGCCTCCCGAGTAGCTGGGACTACAGGCGCTTGCCATCTCGCCCGGCTAGTCTTTTGTATTTTTTTTAGTAGAGACGGGGTTTCACCGTGTTAGCCAGGATGGTCTCGATCTCCTGACCTCGTGATCCGCCCGTCTCGGCCTCCCAAAGTGCTGGGATTACAGGCTTCAGCCACTGCGCCCGGCCAATACCTTATTTTAAAAGTGTCTTTATTCATTTGTATTTAGGTAAAAATTTGTATAGGTGTATCACACTACATATATTTGTTCAGCTCTTACTGAGATTTACCTGACATACAGTAAGGTGCACTTATGTAAAGCATACAATTTGTTATGTTTTGCCATATAAATATACCCATGAAACCATCAACAAAATAAAGATAATGAACACATCCATTGCCCCTAAAGTTTCCTCATCTTCTCATCCCTAGGCAACCCCCAGATCTGCTTGCTTTCACTATGGATTAGTTTTATATGAATGGATTTGTACTGTGTGTACTTTCTTGGTGGTAGGGGAAGGACCAGCTTCTTTCACCCAGCATAATTATTCTGAGATTTACGCGTCTCGTAGTGTGTACCTCAGGAACAGTTCATTTTTTTTTGGTTGCGTAGTATTGCACTGTATGGAAATAACAGCAGTTTATTTATTCATTGACTTGTGGACGGACATTTGGGTTTCCAGTTTTTGGCTATTACAAAAAAGTTGTGAACATCTGTGTACAGGTCCTTGTATAGACATGTGTTTTCTTTTCTCTTGGGTAATTAAGAGTGGAATGACTGGATCACAGGATAGGTATAGGTTTAACTTTTGAAGAAATGTCCAAACTGTTTTCCAAAGTGACTGTTCCATTTTATATTCCCACCCTCAGTATATGGTATAAGATTTCTAGTTGTTCTTCATTCTCACCAATACTTTGTAGGGTCAGTCTTTTCAATTTTAGATACTCCATTAGGTGTGTAGTGGTATTGCACTGGGGTTTTAATTTGTATTTCCCTAATGACTAATGATGTTGAACATCTTTTCTAGTGCTTATTTGCCATCCACTTACCTTTGGGAAAACGTATGTTCAAATCTTCTGGCTACTGCAGATTTCTTCTGCTTGCTGTTTGCATGGTCTGTCTTTTTCCAACACGTTTGCTTTCAATATGTCTTTGTATTTAAAGTATGCCTCTTGGAGATACATGCATTAGTTATCTATTGATATATTCTAAATTATACCAAAACATAATGGCTTAAAATTATTTTGTCACAGTTTTGTGGGTCAGGAATGGTTTTGATGGGTGGTTCTGGCTTCGGGTCTTTCATGAGGTTGCAGCCAAGACATTGGTTAGGTTACTGTCAACTGTAGGAGTGGCTGGGAAATGCCCTCGACTGGCAAGTTAGTGCTGGCCATTGACGGGAGGCCGCAGTGCCCCTCCATGTGAGCCTCTCCAGATGGCTGCTGACATGTCCACACGGCATGACAGCTGGCTTTTCCAGAGTGAGCAATCCAGGGGAGAGCAAGGAAGAAGGGGCATGCCTTTTATGACAGCCTCTGGAGTCACATACCATCACCTCTGCCAATTCTGTTTGTTAGAAGTGAGTTGCTAAATCCAAGCCAGGGAGGAATGTCAAAGAATTTGCAGACATATCTTAAAATTGCACACAGTTGAGTATGGCTTTTATATCCATTCTGACAATTTTTTGCATTTTAATTGAATTGTTTAGTCATATATGTTATAATTACTGACATGGTTAAGTTTGGGTTTACTATTTTATATTTGTCTTCTATTCATTCCATCTAGTTTTTTTTTGTTATCCTGTTTTTCTTTCCTGTCTCCTTAAAAAAAAATTGACATTTTTGTATTCTTATTTTTCTTTCTTCTTCTTCTTCTTTTTTTTTTTTTTTGAGACAGTCTCACTTTGTCACCCAGGATGGAGTGCAGTGGCACAACCTCGGTTCACTGCAGCCTCAACCTCCTGGGATCAAGTGTCACTCCTGCCTTAGCTTCCCAAGTAGCTGGGACTACAGGTGTGCACCACCACACCTGGCTAATTTTTGTCTTTTTTGTAGTGATGAGGTTTCATCATGTTGCCCAGGATGGTCTTAAATTCCTAGGTTCAAGCAATCCTCTCACTTTGCCTCCCAAAGTGTTGAGATTACAGATGTGAGATGCCATGCCAGGCCTTTCTATTGATTTTTTTTTTTAAGCTATCTTGAATTTTTAAAATTGTTACCATAGATATGCAATACATATCCTTAACTTAATGTTAGGCTACTTAATGTTATACACTGAATAAAACATAGAGATCCTACAACCACACAGATCCACTCATTTCCTCCCCCATCCTTTATTATTATTTTTTTGAGACGGAGCCTTGCTCTGTTGCCCAGGCTGGAGTGCAGTGGTGCCATCTCTGCTCACTGCAACCTCCACCCCCCGGGTTCCCACCATTCTCCTGCCTCAGCCTCCTGAGTAGCTGGGACTATGGGCGCCCGCCACCATGCCCGGCTAATTTTTTTGTATTTTTAGTAGAGACGGGTTTTCACCATGTTTGCCAGGATGGTCTCGATCTCCTGACCTTGTGATCTGCCCGCCTCAGCCTCCCAGAGTGCTGGGATTACAGGCGTGAGCCACCGCGCCTGGCCTATTAATTATTTTAAGTATCGTCTACACATGCTATACACTCCTCAAGACAATGTGATCTTTGGTGGTGAACTAACGCAATTTTTCTTTATCTGAAAATATCTTTACTTCACTTTCATTTTTAAGGGATATTTTAACTTGATAACAGAATTCTGGCTTGACAGTCTCTTCCACTTCTTCCTCCCTAAAAACTTTTAAACGTGCTGTTACACTCTTTTCCAGTTTTCATAGTTTTTGATGAAAGCTTGACATTAATCAATTAGTTGTTTGCTCTGTGTGAAATGTGTTTTTTCTCTTGATGCATTTAAGATTTTCTCTTTGTTTTGTCAACAATCTGACTGTGATGTGATTTATCCAGCTTGTTTATCGAGCATCTCAAAGCTGTAAATTTGTCTTTCATCCTATTTGTGAACATGTCAGCCATTGTTTCTTCAAATATTTGCCTCTCCAGTTCTTTCTCTCTTGTTCCGGGACTTCTCTTCTACCTATGCTAGACTGTTTGTTTGAATTATATAAAACAGGGTTCTGAGGCTTTGTTCACTTAAAAAAAATCTTTTGCCCCCATCTCTGTTACTTAGATTAGATACGTTATGATCTATCTTCAGGTTCTTGACATTTTTTCCTCTGCCATCTCCATTCTGGTAAGTTCATCTATATATTTTTTTTCATTTCAGATACTGTACTTTTTTAGTTCTCAAATTTCCATTTAGTTCTCTTAAAAATCATTTCTCTATATATAGATGGATCCCTTTTAATTTATTACAAGCATATTTCCTTTTCCATCACTGAGGACAGTTATAATAGTAGTTGCTTTGAAAATCTTGCCTGCAAATTCTAACATCAAGATGAGCTCAGGATTGGTCTCAGCCTTTTTCCTTTGAGAACAGGTTACATTTTCCTGATTCTTTGTATGATGCATGTTATGGATAAGTGTTATGGATGTTAAACTGTGGTGACTATGAATTCTGCTGTTATTCTCAGATGAATGGTTTCTATTGTTTTAACAAGCTATTAACTTGGTTACACTTAAACTTCAAAATGTTTCTTGGGTAGATGTTCCAATCTCACTTTAGATCTTTTGTCTTCAGCTGAGCTGCTATGCGTCTATTCCACGCCTGTATGGCTTAGGGGTCAGCCAGAGATGTGGACACACAGAATTTGGGGATCTCCCCTCCAGCTCTTTCCCTCTGGTTGCTCTCAATTCAGTTCTCTGGATTTCCAGGCCATAAAGACTATGGCTTTTCCACCAGTAACCATGCCACTTAGCTGGACCCCGGAGTAAAAGCAGCAAGAAGAGGGAAATCATGCCACATCACTCCCTTCCTTTGAGTGTGGGTTCCCCACCAGAGAATGACTGCTTCTATTTACTCTTCAATGCCTTCAGGTAGCTGCTTTTTGTTATGACCAAGATTAATAGCTATTATCTGTGGGAAGACTGAACCAGCAGGGCCTTACTTAGCCACTCGTGGAATTGCAAGTCTGAGTAAATGTATTTAAACGAACTTTGGTGCTCAGTGGCATATAAGGAAGTCCTACAGGTGGCGACTCATTTGAATAACCAAAACCCAATGTAGAACCTCAGTCTATAAACAGGAACCCAGAGACACGTAAATACCAGAGATTCCAATCAGCTGTCTTACGTTACAGTGGAAGATTCGTCAAGTAAGCAGGACTTAGGAAGGATGGGTGCTATCTTTTTGTTTTCTTAAAAACTGCAGTTAAGCTCTTGGCAATTCACTTCATCTCTGCTCCCTGTGAAGACAATAGATACCACTCCCAATGGACCATCAGGAAGGAGTGTAGTCCAGCACCACCTGTTTGATTTCTTATTGCAAATGTTTGAACCTATCTTTGAAATCTGACTTCTCCATCGCAGACAAAGGCCTTTGCTGAGTCTGTAAGTAAGGAACGTCTTACAACTCAAAGTTACATCCCCTCAATACAGTTAATACAAAGAAGCATACGGCAGGTTCCACTTCCTCCAAGAGGCAGCCCCCCACGGGTCCTGAGCTTCCCTGGATGTCCTTGGTGAGGGTGCCAAACTGACAAGGTCGCCTGGACTAAGCAGCTTCTGCAGATGCTCACTCAGGCAACCAAGTGGGTCAAGGCAGCGTAGGCATGACTGCATACTCCCTGGGTGAGGGACTGGCTTGTTAGGTGCTTGCTAGAAAAAGCGCAGAGCCCTTGGCCCCACGTTCCTTGGGTGCAGCTTGACCCACTGCATACACAGCCACCATGTGGCCCCAACAAGTTACCCCATGGAACACGGGAGCGGGGGAACTGGCACAACTGCGCTGATGCTCCTGCTGTTTGCCGTGGATAATAAACAGTCCTGCTTGGATACTGTCTCTTGGTGTCCACCTTTAGCGCCCATGGAGTGGTGGCAGGGCCACTCCTTGAACCCTCTATGAGGCTGGGGTTATTCCCTGAAAGGTTAGTTTTAAGCTTTGACAGAAAGCTTTAGAGAGACAGAAAGATTGGAGGACTCTTTAGGGTAATGTATGACAAGTGCTGTTGTGACTGGCACCCACCATGGGCCATCTGCTTTTACAAATAGGAACCCTAACTTCTTCCATTGCCTGGTATAGTTGGGGCTACTTCTGTTTTATCAGTGAAACCAGGAAGGCTCAGAGACCACATGGTCACCATGTGTGGTGAAACCAGGAGAACCTGAGGTCTGTTACCTCCAAGCGCATTTGCTCAGTGTATGAGCAAAGTCATTTGGATGGGCTGGCCTGCTGGGAGCAGAGGCTGCTAGAGACCAGAGAGATGAAGCAGGACCAAGTCAATTTAGGTGCTGGTGGCCTGGAATGTCAGACAGGTGGAACAGTGATACCATGTGTCATTTTGATGCTGGCCTGACACACGGTGGCTTTAGAAAAGGGACCTGTATAAAATATGTGTCCTGGTCATAATCAGATCTATCTTTAACATGACTGATACCCTTACCCAAAGGAAAAGTTAAGAGATAAACCCTGAATTTCTGAATAAACAGTAAATGCAGTTATACTGCTGCTGAAAGCTGTTTAAGGTCTTCATGATAAATGACATTTTGATTTTAAATAACCATGTAAAATACAAGGTTATTTTTGTATTTCGACTGAGGCAAGTCAGTTTCATACAAGGGATTCTGTACAGTTCTGCTCCAGACTGAAGATGGGCACATCCACCATAGCCTTATGCACCGTGACCCTGCCCTCACTTACCTCTGGCAGGGGGGCCTGTGTGCTGCGTGTTTGCTTGATGGCCTCCTCATAGCGGGGGGGATCTTTTGTCTTGGCGACTGGGCTCCCAAATAGAGAGTGCTGGACGACAAATTGCTGAGGCGGCGAGGGTGAACTAGGCTGTGTCAAATAAAGGAGGAGTGCATATTACATCTTGACAATAAACCCTCTCTTTTCCTGGCTAGACTCGGCTCTGCTGTTCTCTATGTGGTGGCCAAATCAGGGAATTCATGAGCAGGTTCTTCTAAGCACCTGTGAGGCTGACAGCACTGGTGGCCACCTCATAACACATCTTCACTGTGATAATCGCTGAGCTCCTCCTTCACAAGTTATCACTGAATTTTCAACAATTTTATCCCATTAATATTAGTCACTCCAAGCCCAAAGCACTAGGCTTTGGAATGATTTTATGCCCCTGTAGAACTGTCACAGATGCACAAGCCTCACAGGGTTACCTTGTTGGGTGTGTTAGGTCCATTTTGCAGGGATGGAAGCGGAGCATTTCTGGATTGAAGAACGCTGTTGGAGGCCTTATTGATAAAGGGCTGCTGGACAGCTGGAGCAGGATGTCTCTGATATGGAAGAACTGTATTTGATGCTGAGTTTGTGAAAACCTATAATGAATAAATGTTTCTCCATTAATTTGTTCTTTGGCTTTTCCTAATGAAGTAAAGAAAACCATGTTTTAGGGCAGGGGTCAGCAAACTTTTTCTGTAAAGGGCTGCAGAGTATATAGCTTACGATTTGTGGGTCACCTGGCCTCTGTTGTTACCACTTGGCTCTGCCATTGCAGCCTGAAAGCAGCCACAGATAGTACACAGATAAATGCGTGTGGCTGTGTGCCAATGAAACTTTATCCACACAAACAGGTGGTGGGTTAGATTTGGCCCATAGGCCAGGTTTTGCTTACCCCTATTTTCGAGCATATGTGGTCCCTTTACGCAGTAACTTGCCTTTGATGGTGGTACAGACAGAGCTATGTGGAAAAACAGTGCTTGCTCTTTATAATTCTCCTCTTAAATGATAGTTGAGTTTCTTCTATTCCTCTCTAAGGTGAGCTCATCTACTCTCTCTTTTTTTTTTTTTTTTGAGACAGAGTCTCACTCTGTTGCCCAGGCTGGAGTGTAGTGGCGCACTCTTGGCTCATTGCAACCTCTGCCTCCCAGGTTCACACCATTCTCCTGCCTCAGTCCCGAGTAGCTGGGACTACAGGCACCCGCCACCATGCCCAGCTAATTTTTTGTATTTTCAGTAGACGGGGTTTCACCGTGTTAGCCAGGATGGTCTCGATCTCCTGATCTTGTGATCTACCCACCTCGGCCTCCCAAAGTGCTGGGATTATAGGCGTGAGCCACCGTGCCCGGCCTACTCTCAAGTCTTTAATGGCCATGACTAAGCTAATAATCCCGAGTCACTGCTCTGTTTCCAACCTTGCTCCCAGGCATCAAAGCCACTTATATCATCTTCCTAGGTATCTCAAATTAAAAATATTCCAAATTATTTTTCTCCTTTTTCCCCACTACCCCCTGCCTCTCAGCTTCTGAGGGAAAATAATTCTTGGTTCTGCCTTTTTAAAAACTTAGGTAAACAGGACTATCAGTCAACTCTGCTTTCTCCCTCAGTGTTCACACATCTCACTGACGCCTCTTGAATCTGCCGCTGCTCTCTGCTGTCCTGCGCCTGGTCCTCACTACATCACAGGGATTCTGCAGCAGCCTTGCGGCACAGACTCCCCGTCACAACGTGTTCCCAAGGCATGGCCCCTACCACACTCATTGGCTCTCCTGATTTGGGTAAAACCCTAATCTTTGCCTGGCATGTAAGCTGCTTACTACCTGGCCCCCTTTCCATCCTACCTAAAACCTCAACCTGCTATGGTCACTGAATTTTCCAGTTTCTTGAAAATTTCTTCAAATACAAGCAAGGCCCCATTTAAAACTGGCCCCCTTTGGAGAGGCTATTTTCTGTTCTAACAGGCAAAGGTGAGAACTTCCTACTGCAGAACTCCAAAATTTTTTTTTTTTTTTTTTTTTTTTTTGAGACCGAGTCTGGCTCTGTGGCCCAGGCTGGAGTGCAGTGACGTGATCTCAGCTCACTGCAAGCTCCAGCTCCCGGGTTTACGCCATTCTCCTGCCTCAGCCTCCCGAGTAGCTGGGACTACAGGCGCCTGCCACCACGCCTGGCTAATTTTTTGTATTTTTAGTAGACGGGGTTTCACCGTGTTAGCCAGGATGGTCTCGATCTCCTGACCTCATGATCCGCCCGTCTCGGCCTCCCAAAGTGCTGGGATTACAGGCTTGAGCCAGCGCGCCCGGCCTCAAAATGTTTTGTTTAGCACCTCCATCAAGAGCCACAAGTTTTAGGGTCTTGTACAAATATGTGTCTATATTGCTGATATTGTAACTGTATTTCATAGAACTTGGTTTGCTCATAAAAATACTTAACACGTTCTATAATACTAATACTCCAAAAAACCTCTGAATTTCGTAAGCAGGAAAGTCTATGTGTATATACCTCAAACAGTACAACCTCGATGGTGATGAGTTCTGTAAATATACTCCTATTTGAAACAATTAAATTTCCTTATATTTGGTAAAAAATTACTTCCTTTACACTAGAAGTAATCATTCCTAATTCTAGTATCTTGAGACTTAGTGAAAAAGCCCTTATTTATCCTATCTACATATTTTTCCCTTTCCTCCCTAAAACAAATTGTCTTAATATTTGAACATTTACTAAGCTTTTAATTACACTAAATGGTATTTTGAGCTTTCCCCAAACTCAGTAACATACAACCATGATTCCCTTAGCAGAGGAGATTCTGAAGCAGCACATCTGTTACATGTGACTGCTGCTTTCTGTCCCCAAAGCTAGTTTCACCCAGACAGTTCACACTATCCTGAGGCAGATCACAGGCACTCATTACCTGGGTTCTTTTATGTTGAGGAGTAAAACTCTGGGATTAATAATTTTCAAGGTTTAAAAGAGTAAGACCTATTTTTGAGGCCTAAGATTTTTCTAGCAAGGAGATGTGCACATAGCTCCACCTACTGGCTACTGGGGAATGTGGGAGAAATTTTTTGGTAGGTATTTGTGTAGAGGACACTGAATCCTAGACCACCAACTTCATTTTAAAGATGAGGTAACTGACGCTCAGAGAAGGTAAGTGAATTTTGTGTGAGGCCAAACACCTAGGCAATGGTGAAATGGAATTGATGAGACCTTCTGGGCTCTTAATCTGAGACGGCAAAGTCTTACAAATGCATTTCAAGATCTTATTCAACATAAACATTTTGGGAGTATATTTTTCATCTTCAAATGCCTTTTCCAAGGGAACAGCGTATCTTTTTTTCTACAGTATGTTTAATTTGAAAAAATTTATTTTAAAATTCAGTATATTTAATATATGAGGATTGAAAACAAATACTTTTGAAACTTTCCCTTGGAAAAGGGGTTAACTGTGAAGGCAAGCTATCTTTCAGTAATAAAAAGCTTTCTCCATTCCAAATAACTGGGAAATCTGCAGCCAAACGGCATCTGACCTAAGGCTCATTCCATCGGAGATGGATCACAGAACAGAATGAACAGGAGCTTCCCAAGGCTAATTTTACGAAGACGCTTGTTGAATGGATGATTGGAGGGTGGTAAAAATCAGTGACAGTTTACTGCTCCTTGGCATTTACAAACCTTTCTGACTTGTTGAGGCTGACTGAGCACATGCTGTGGGAACGTGTCTTGTGTCTGAGGTACAGCTGGGGCCAAGCCTGAGGCCAAGGCAGCAGTTGGTATTTGTGCAGCAGTTGCTATCTGAGGCTGAGTCTGCATTCCTGCTTGTGGTGAAGTCTAGGGAGGTGAATTGGAAAAAAGTCAATTTAATTGTCAGAATCAAAGTTAGAAATCACAATTTAGATGTAGAATCACTGGTCACTTGGGGATTGTATCTAAATGAAGACCAAGGTTACAGATACACACTGCATCTGCACAGAAATCTGAACTTTAATGATTCTAAACCAGAGAGGGAAACACCAGACCAGTCACTGCATGCTCTTATTATTCCTAAGTAGCTAAGATTTTCATTTGAAAATTTTGAGAAAATGGAAATAATAAGAACCTAACGCAGTTCTACACATAATAGCTCAGGTATTGTAATACTTGAAGAGCAACAAGGAAACTCGTGAGACCTAACTGTCCCAATTGCTTTTGGTAAGCTGCGTGTGCATTCCCTAGGGAGAGCCAGCAAGGGGCCAGGGCGCCCTCAGACCCAAGGATAAAAACACGGTTCTCGTTTCTACTACAGCAATGGCAGATTTGGACCAAAAAATTTAAGGATTTATTATGGAATAGACTTTCAATTTTGCAGATACCCTAAAGATAAAACAGAGGAATTAGAATTTTTTGCATGTGCCAAAGGGTCTGCAGGCCCTGCCTCCTAACCACAGGGATACAAGATGACTCCTCTCGCCTGTTTCAGGTATTTGGGTGTCGAGGCTGAGAAGCACTGGTTCAAATGGTTTCTTGTTCACCCGTGGTCCATGTTTGGTTAAAACTTACCAAAACTGCATGACACGGAACACCCTCAGGCAAATACACAGGTTATGTAGGCACAAAAGGGAATTTCATGCTCATCAGTGTTTTCTCATCTTTTTCAATTACATCCTCACTCCTAAATATTTGGTCATGTTTTCCTTAGTTTAGACATCTTCATATAAGCAGTGACTTTCGAGAACTAAATGTGGGAGGCAGAATATAAGAATGGGCATAAGAATAAAGGCTCTGCGGGCAGAACACCTGGGTTTAAATGCCAGCTCCATCCTTGGGGAACTCACTTGAGTACTCCTAGGCCTCAGCTCCTTATCCAGAGAGGGGTCGTATCACTTACATCTTCTAGGAGAAGGGAGGATGCAGTGAAGCCAGCCATTTAAAGTACTAGATGCTGTGCCTTGCCAGAAGAAGTGCTCAGCAGCAGAGACTATGATCACAATGATCAAGTCACTGGTGTGTAAAAAAATGTCTGCATGGATGATACTGTGTTCATTCAAGGGAAATGGTAACAGAACTAGAAAAGCACCCTGTGTTTGTTTTCACTATATAAAAAGTGCTAGATATTCAGATTTCTGAATAACCCTCTCACACATGCATATGTTTCCTCTGTGAGGTCTGCTCTGGATGCATTCATGAAAGAGCTCAGGTATGGTTCCTTCCTTAGCAGGGTTTGCATTCCAAGCATGCTGTAAGGCAAAGTAGTTAGAAGATACACTTCACACCTGGAGTTTGAGGCTGCCTACAGGGAGTTGCACTGAGGTGACACTCGAGCCCTGGATGGACACTGGGAGCAGGAGCTGAGCAGTCTGCGTGGTCAGTAAAGCCTGGGGCTGAGCAACAACAGCAGGCGGTGGCTGTCCCTGGGAACTCACATAAAACTTTGAGACGACACTCTGCTGCTCTGCCTGGGCCACAGGGACCTCTTGCTTGATAACTACAGCCTTTTTGGCAACAAGGGTCTGGCCACCTGTAGAGACGGGCTGGCCTACAGTGTGACTGGCTACTGGGATGGGCTGCCTGGAGCTGGAGCAGTCGGGGAGTGAGGCCTCATCTTTGATGGAGGAGCCAAGGCTGCTGTGCTTCTGATCTGACTTGTTGACAGAATGACCTGGGGCACTGGGCTGGGGTTCCAGGGGCCGCTGTTGCTGCCCTCGTTTTTCAACCTCAAGTTGCATTTTCAGCACTTCCACGAGCTTCTGCTCTTGTTCCAGTTTCCTCTTCAGTTCTTCGATTTGCTTCTCTTTCTCCTGAAGCTTGCGATCCTTCTCGGCTGCATCCAGTTCCAGGTTCGACAGAGTGCTGCTGGTAGGACTCAGACTGTCTTCATTATTTGTCATTCTCAAAGGAGACGAACTCAAGAACTGTGAAGGAGACATCATGGTCATAATCTCGGTGAAAGTGTCCGCCATATTTGTGTCATCGGTACTGAGACTGGACTGTTCAGAGGGAGATGGTGAAATGGGCAGAGGGGAATGAACATTTTCCACACGGGCTGCGTTGCTGGTTCCTGTAGATGGCAATTCTGCCTTGAGAGTAGAGACTGGGCTAGTCACAGTGTTGTGTAGTGTTGTAACCGGCAAGGCCACAGTGACTTCTGGGTTACTGGTGACAATGGTTGACGATGACACTGCCACGATGCCCCCAGCAGCAAGGCCGCTGCTGTTCACTTCCTGGTAGGGTTTCAGGCGCTCAATGAGGTCTGGTTTGGTGCCTGACACTGGCAGACCCCTTAACTTCAGTTCTGTCTTCAGTTCTGACACCTGGAGGTACAAACAAAGCAGATCTCTTGGTATTGGAGCTTTCTGGCAAATCTACAGTACACTTTTGTGATGGGAAAGGTGCCTATGTCTGTCAGACAACTGTGTTACTGCACACCTGAAAGTGGAACTGGTTTTCTATTTAAGCACACAGAAACAGATAACTACAGACTAGAAGTACTCGAGGAGCCAGTGATACAGTAAGGGTTTTTAGAGGGTAATTCCGCTTTTATGTCAAAGCAGAGAGATACTACCAGGAATGATGACGGTACAGCTGCATTTACTGAGTAGCTGCCATGTGCAAGACACTGTTGGAAGTGCTCTATTCTTTCCACTTGTCTTCACATGACCCCATGAGGTGTCGGTATCATTATTCTTCCCATTTTACAGATCAGCAGGCAACGGGAAGAGAGAGGTTGAAGCACTCACTCACGGTACCACAGATAATAGAAGGCTGAGCTGTGATAGAAACCTAAAAAGGCTGGCCCTAGAGCTCATATTCTTAACTGTTACATTTTCCTGCTTCTCCCAAACTTGGCATTGAGCAGGGAAGAAAAAAAAATCACAGCCTCTGGAATCCAGCAGAACTGGCAGGTGCCCACACAAGGTACACACTCAGTAAACGGCAGTTATTGGTTGCTTTAAAAGAAAATTTAGTGGAAGTAAAAAGAAAGTACCTTTATAAAGATGATCATATTGTTGGTAAAGTTGAATGTCTATTGAAAACTACGTAATGTCTGCTAGACAAATCTGGCAAATCATTTACATGTTTGTGGTACTCAGGGGTGAATAAGCTCCAGTTGGAATTGTCACCTTTAAGTCATCCAGGCTAGAAGGCAGAGGTCCTGGCTTTCTCACAGGAGCAGATGTATTCTGTCTTGGTGTGTTAGGTGTGGTATTGTTCAAAGCTGAATTCCCACTGTTACTAGTTTTGTCATTGAGTGGCCTTCAAAAGAAAAAGAAAATTAGAGTTTATAATAAAATAATTTCTAGATTTGACATTGTTTCTATTAACAAGTTGACTAACTTATGAAGAGAAAGATACCATGGTCATGGATTTGGAAGGCTGAATATTGTAAATATGCCAATTACATTAGATCTCAATGAAATCCCTGCAGGTTTTGTTTGTTGGCTAGTGTGGTGGAAATTTAGAAGGCGATTCTAAGCTTTATATGGAAATGCAAAGGACCAAGAATGGCCACGAATCCTTGAAGAAAAGCAAAGCTGGAAGAGTCACACCACCAGACATCAACGCATAATTAACGTAGGATGTTGCTGATACAGGGACAGAACGACAGGCAAATGAGAGACTCCCAGCAAATCCAGAAACGGCCCTCTGCATACCTGGACCCTTGAGTTACCAAAAAGAGGACACCGTGATGTAGTGGAGAGAGGGCGGGACTTCTGATGGCACCACACTACGCTGGAAATTCACACAGAAAAAACATGGCTCTTGACTGGCCCCACCTCACCTTGTTCCCAAAATCTACATGTGAATTATGAAAATCTTTCAGAAAAACAGTCAGAATAGTATCTTCATGGTCTTTGGGTACACAAAGATTTCTTAAATAGGACATAAAAAGCACTAAGTAAAAGGGACATCTTTAAGACAGTGAAAAGTCAAGCCACAGTGCAGGACAACAGATCTGTAATATATATTTCTGACAAACACCTCATATCTAAAGTATATAAAGAGGTCTTTTAAAATCAGTAAGAAAGAGACAGAAAACCCAGTGGAAAAGTAGGGGAAAAATCTCAGATGTATCACAAGCAAGCATATCCCAATGGTCAATAAATAAAGGAACAATGGTTCAACCTCATTAGGTATGCGGAAAACGCAAATCACAACAGAATAGCCCTGCATTTTCAGCGGAATTGCTATAATAAGTAAGACTGATACCAAGTACCTGGGACAACCACAACAATCACACACTGCTGGCAGAGGTGTGAATGATGCAGCTATTTTGGAAAACTGTACTAAAGAAAAACATCTTTTCTTTGAAACTTTTCTTTCGTAGTACTAAAGGAAAACATCTGCCTATCCTATGATACTGCAATTCCATTCCTAGATAGACATCTAAAGAAAGACACATGTATGTATACCAAAAGACAGACTATTTACTACGGGGTGATTCATAATAACCCCAACTGGAAACAACCCAACTATGCATCAAGAGTGAGTTGGATGGTTAAATTACGGTACAGTCAGCCACGAAATATTAAACAAACAAACAAAAGAACTGCTATCAGCACCAACAAAGATGCTCCTAGGTATACTGTAAGATTGCATGTATATAAAGTTCAAAAACAGGCAAAACTACACTTTGGAAGGCCGAGGCGGGCAGATCATGAGGTCAGGAGATTGAGACCATCCTGGCTAACATGGTGAAACCCCGTCTCTACTAAAAAATGCAAAAATTAGCTGGGCGTGGTGGCGGGCACCTGTAGTCCCAGCTACTGTGGAGGCTGAGGCAGGAGAATGGCATGAACCCGGGCGGCGGAGCTTGCAGTGAGCCGAGATTGCGCCACTGCACTCCAGCCTGGGCGACAGAGCGAGACTCCGTCTCAAAAAAACAAAAAAACAGGCAAAACTAATCTCTGCAGATAGAAGTCAGGATCATCACAGAAAAGGGACACAAAGGGGGCTTTTGGGGTACTGATAATGTTCTTGGTTTGAGTATTGGATACAGGAGTGTATTTATTTTTGTATCAATTTTCACTTACAATTTATGGACTTTTCTGTATGTAAGCTATACTTCAATTTAAAAAGCTTATTTAAGAGAAGTTGGTGCATCACTTGTCAAATTCTACTACAGTTAGATGCTTTGTACTAATTTCCCTAAACTTGCAGTATTAAAACCAGATCCCCACCTAACATCTTCCAACTGTGATACTCTTGGTAACAGTGGTGTTTCCTTTCTGGATGGTTGCTACCATAGAGCCGATTCCACTGCAGCTTCAGACTTGGTGCCGAAGCCAAGAGACTTGGAATTCCACATTCTGAAACAGGGATTTGAGGTGACAGTGCCTATGGGGTGATGGCCATAGTTGGGTGAGCTTTCTCTGAGGAGTTCTGGGAAGTCTGTGGTTGAAGCCAATGCTGGCTTTGTCAATAGCTAACTCTTGGCATTCACTTTGGGGGTATTCTAAAACCTGGCTGAATTTTGTTGAAGTTAAATACTTGAAATCTTTGGGATGAAGTTTTTTGTTATTGGATGAAATGACAAATATTTTATGCATCATTGTTCTCCTTTATAAAAATTCAACTGTAAAATCTCAGAGTTATGAAAACATTTTCTTTAAATCAATGTTTCTCCACCTTATTTCCATTCATTAGTGTGAATGAGCCTTTTAGACATTTTTCTCCAAATCTCTCTCCCCATGAAGTTTCAACACCACATACTGCATGTGTTTATGGACTGCACGTAAGTCTGTGCTTTATTACATAAGAGTAATCTCCCTGCTGAGCCACCTTTTGCTTCCTTGTGAATGGTATTATCCCCTTGAGAATGAACGTAATTATTCTACTCATGCTGTTTTTTTTTCCTGTTGAGATTCTATAATACTCTACCTATTATAATGAACAGTTTGGTATTTCACTCAATCTTTAAAATAATATAAATATGTTATTCTATTTTTCTCCCAAATCATTAGAGGGAGAGAGAAAAAAAAAGGAGAGGGTTGCTGATGAATGTGATTGGCAGATGAGAGACCTGAGTTCAGAGAGATGCAGTGGCCTTTGGGGACCTCCAGTGACTTCCCACTGTGCGGACAAGCTGGGCTGGACTAAAGCCCAGTCCATTTGGGCGCTTGCTCCTTTGTGGTGGCAAAGGGCTACATGATTCAGGTAAAATCCTACCACTATGGGCACTGTAGGACTTCCACATTCAGTTTCTTGTAATGGAATTTTGATAAATATAAACAGTGCGTTAGGAAACAAGGTCTCCATTTTTAGGATCTGGAAACTGAACAGGACTTACATTCTTTTTGTGGTTAAATAATACACAAAAACAAGTGTTCTTTCTCCTTCTAGTATCCTGGGTGTTTCTGTATGATAGTGTTCTCGGGTGAGCCTGGTTATTGTAGAGGTGCTGAATGTCTGAGGAGGAGAGGGGAACTGAAGCCTTATGGAAAGACAAAGAACTGGTAACAGTTCAGCAAGCCCACACCTCTGAAGGATTCTTTCCATCTACAAAGCCCCACCGCACAGCCAAATTCTTTCATTACAGAAAAGACTGTTTCAAAGACATCAAAAAAATCCTTTGGGATTTGCACCTTAACAGCGTCCTCATCTGGGAATGGGGTCAGTAACAGCAATTCCTCCTAGATTTGCAGCAAAGATGAGGATGATGCACAGTTTTAAGCACAATGCATTGTACATAGTAACTGTGAGCCATCATTACCATTATTATTATTATTGGTGCCCAAAGCCAAAGGAGGATGGCCGTGGAGGAGGCCTCCCTAGGGCCTGGACAAAGCTGCAAAGTAGCAGCAGCTTGTCTCTGATTCTCTTCCAATTCTATTTGGTCTCTCCTGATTCCCTTCCAATGTCAATAGCTCACTTGGGCCTGCTTGCTGTTAAAATAGTAACTGGATACAAAGTTCTTTCTCTCTTCATCTCCATACCCTGATGTTTTAGATTTAAGTACTTCACAATTAGGTCTGAATTACAGGTTTAATCTTCCTCAACATATCTGAATCTTAAGAGGGAAAACAGGGGCTACCTATGAGGGAATGCTTAGGCTACATGTAGAAAACAGAAGTTTCTACAGATCATGTAATCGTAAGTTGAATGACTTGATCACGGCTAGTAATTTTTCATTATCATGAACTTTTGCATCTTTTTCAAGAGTCAAATGAAAATACTTCTTTTTCCAGAAAAGTGAGGAAAATGAAGACAACATCTTTGCATTTTTATCTGTTTCCCAGAAAAAGCATATTGGGAATGTATATCCAGAAATTTTCTTTATTACATTAATTAAAATTAGCCATTGATGTCTTGCTGTGAATTCAGTTTCAGAAATTGTCAGAATTCACTCCCTTCTGTCCCCCCTAGTTGGGTTAAAACTTTGAAAACACCTTTCTTCTTAGCAGTTGCTGGTCACCAAGGCCTTTAACTGTCTTCTGAAACACTCCCTCTGCTGTCAGAGCTCTTCACTGTCTCTAGACGTCCCTGCAACACCAGCATCCAGGTGTTCTTTCTTACATTGCAGCCTCACCCCGTTAGCAGCCTGCTCTGAAGCACTCCGTTGTCTATCTGCTGTGTCGAGCAAGACTCTTCTGTCCAGCTTCAAGTCCCCTTAGACATTGGCTGTACTTGATTTTTGTCTTCCACTTTTTTTCTTAAAAATTAATCAGATTCTTTGTTTAGGCAATGTTTCTCATCTTCCAATGAAGAGAGGCACTACTTACTCTATTCTTTCCTCTGTACTAGTGCTCATAGCATTCCCCTGTGCCTGGAAAGGCCCTTCTTGAGCCTTCTATATACAAAGATCCTGCCTTTTCCACCAGGCTTTCCTTTGACCACTCCAGCTTTCATGTCCATCTTTCTCCTATTTTAGCTGTTTATCACAGGTCTTATACTACTTATGCTTTTCTCAGAGCATCTAGTACTATTTTGGTGTTCTAATAATAGGCAAATCTGGATGAATGATTGTGAAAAGGCATTTCTAACTTGTAAAAATTCAGAACCTATTTTGGAGGACAGAAACTGGACTGGAATGCAGGCCATTCTCACCATGTGGACTTCAGACACTGTATGATAAGCTCTGATAACAAAGAAATGAAAATCATCACTGAGCACAAATAAATGACAATATTCAACTTTTGGTAACTTATAGTTCCTCATAAAAAACCACAGAGGCTGGGCACAGTGTCTCCAGCCTGTAATCCCAGCACTTTGGGAGGCCGAGGCGGGTGGATCACGAGGTCAGGAGATTGAGACTATGATGAAACCCCGTCTCTCCTAAAAATACAAGAAATCAGCCGGGCGCGCTGGCAGGAACCTGTAGTCCCAGGTACTCAGGAGGCTGATGCAGGAGAATGGCGTGAACTCGGGAGGCGGAGCTTGCAGTGAGCCAGGATCGCGCCACTGCACTCCAGCCTGGGTGACAAAGCGAGACTCTGTCTCAAAAAAAAAAAAACAAAAAAAAACCACAGAAAACCCCGCGTTGAGGACAGCATGGGCCCCGCCGTACTTGAATGGTGCAGGCAGGATGGTCTGGTAGTTGTAGTGCTGCTTCTGCTGACTCAGGATCTGCAGCTGCAGGAACAGCTGCTGCTGCTGGAGCAGGCGGGCGTAGTTGGAGTCCATCTGCGGCTCGTTCTTCTCACCCTTCTGATCTGGTGGAATGTATTGGTGGTATTTTAACTTCTTTACCCGTGGTTTGGGATCTTTGCACTTTTTGCTACGGTGTTTGTCATTTGGATTCTTGGGATGGCTTTGCTATTTTTGAGAAAAAGAAAATAACATTTAAAGAGGTGTCACCACATGAAATCTATTGTTCTGTATGCCTAAATGATTTGAAATTAAAAAGAAATGTACCTTAGATACGGGTACAGCCACTTTGGAAAGCAATATGCTAAATCCATTTCAAGAGCCATGAAAACTTTTGCATGTTAACTCTGACCAAGAAATGTTCTCCTGCTGCACTGTTCCCTCAGGGTATGGGCAAGGGCCTCAGCATGAGCTATTCAAACTCAACGCACACTGACCTTGGGTCTCCTGTGTGAACACGCTACCAAGTGCTTGCACATATAATCTCCTAGTGAAAAACAAGCTGCATGCTAAATATCCAATGGAAAAAGATTAAGTATACTTCACTAAAACCATGTAACAGCTAAAAATTCTGTGGAGAATATGTAAAAATGAAAAAATGCTTACAATGAGAAGAAAACAGAATATAAACTATCTCTAAGGAATATAACACAAAAACAAATACTGAGTGTGACATGAACATGAATTTAAACATTTTTCAAAAATATTACATTTTTCCTTTGAAACTGGGATGTGAGACCATGTATCTCTCATCTTAAGATTAGGAATCAGATGATGTTTTCCTGAGTTCTTGTTGTTTTCTCAGTTTTTAAGTTAACAGATCACTTTATACTTTTCAGTATTCAGATTCTAAGATAGCTTCATCTGAAAAAAACCCACCCAAACAAAAAATATAGGAATGTATTCCTAAGCTTCTTTAGGGAACATATCCAACTTAATACAAAGACTTTGAGAAGTACTTAATTAAATGGAGCTATGGTTATGATCACATATTCATATCCAAATAATTAGGACACTGCAATCAAAGAAGAATAAAAACTCACTGCATTCTGCAGGTTAGGAATAGTCTCATTTCTAATGTTAGGCTATTCTAACATTCATAGAATATGACTATTAACATTCTTTTTTATATCCTTCCTTTGGATATGTTTTAATATAATTGGGATGATACCATATATGCTTATTAGAAACGTGCCTTTCTCTCTCTTCACTTGATAAATCCCTTTATAAAAGAATGATTCTGCAACAAGATTTTTATGGCCATTTTTACATAACAGTTTGCGGACATAGCCAGCGGGGTGCTGAAGCCAGCTCTTACTCATGAGAACCAAATGTGTGCTGCTTCTCCCTACTCTCCATTCAGCAATATCACATGGGTAGCCTGAAACTGGCCACTGTGGGAATATTTACACCATGGGAATTGGCAAAGGTTATAATCTGCCTTCTAAGCCCAGTCAGTTATTAAACATTTACTGCAATACTACTGGACATAATATAATCCAATTAACTAGGAGCCTATTTTTAAAAGTAATTATGTATTAGAAATGATTGGTTCTTGCTAATCTCATCTCATGCTTTCAGAGCTGAGCATCAGGACCTGGCCTCCTCCTAGTTCTTTACTGACTCCTGTGACACATCTGACACTCCCACTGCTCTTTTACTTTCTTCAACATTACTTCAGTCACTATTCTTGATGATTTTAATATCCACATGTACAATCCTTCTAACATTCGGGTCTCTTAGTTCCTTGACTTCACTGCTTCCAGGTATCTCATCTCCTCTCTCAGCCAGCCACTGTGTGATGACAGCCTAGATCTCATAATTATTTGAACCTCCCTTGCTTCCCAGCATCCCAATCTCTGATACCCACCATGTGTTCTGTCAATTCACTCCATCCAGGATGCCAACTACAACAATTATTTGATGCCGCTGAGACCTACAATCCCTTTCTGTTACAACCTTTACATGTTTCTCACTTCCCTCCCTACCCAGCTATATCCAACGGTCCCCTCACTTGCACAGTCCCCTCTTTGTCATACACACCTGGCAAAACCCTTATCTAATTAATTCTGTCTCCTTCTGTTTCTCGACAGTGGCTCTACTGATGTTTTGAGCTAGGTAATTGTGTTGTGGGAACCCATCCTGTACATTGTTGGATGTTCAATGGCATCCTTGGCCACCACCCATTAGATGCCCCTAGCAACGTCCACTCACCCACCTTGTCCCCCGCATTGTGACAACCAGAAACATCTCCAAAAATTGCCAAATGTCTGTGGTGGGAGGCAAACTTACCCCTGCTGAGAACCAGTGGTCCACTTCATGCCTGTACTCATATAACTGAAAGTGGCTACAGGAAAAACATAAAATCATGCTGACAAGTCTCACTTTAAACTCGTGACCACCAACTTCAAGGGTTCATCAGTGCTACCTGGCCATCCTGTTACATTTTTCTGGTCCTTTAATTTTCCTACTCTTCTAGAATACTGCCTATCTTTTCTTCTCTCTCTAAACCTTTAGTATTTCACCCCCATCCTTACTGTCAACTGATGACCTCGCTGCCTAAACATGGAGAACAACATGTAAGGGATCAGCACAGAGCTGAGTGCCTGCCTGCACCAAGACTCTGCACTTTCCTTCCTGCTGGTGTTGCTGTGTCAGGCTGGCCCTTCCCTCCTCAACTGGATTCTGTGTTCCCTTGCCCACACCTGGCTGTGGTTCCCTACTCTTCTCCTGGATCACTACACTGCATCACAAACAGCCTTCCTTGACCCTACAGTCCAATAAAGCTACAGACCCATTTCTGTGAGCTCTCAAGAAAAGCTTTCTGTAACACCATCTCCAGCTCTGCCTTTCAGGCTCTCTTGTGCCCACTCCAACTAAGTTTTCAGAAACTGTTCTTGTCAAGGTCGCTGTGCTTCAGCGTTAAACCAAGGCCAGTTCCCAGCACTCATTTTAACTGAGGCACAGCAGCCTTGATACATTTAGTCTCTCCCTTCTTGAAACATCATGTCTGGCTTCAGGGCTGCCTGGCCTCACTCTTGCTGGCTGTTTTTGCTGAGTCTCCTTTGCTGGTTCTCCTCTCGAAAATGGAGGTTCCCAAGGACTCACTTCTTACACAGCTTTTTCACCTGTACTTAGACCGTAGGTAATTTTACTGGGTTTCATGGCTTTAAACACCATTTATACACTGATGACCCACATTTCTATTCCCAACCTAGACCTCTCTCCTAACGTCTGCACTCATCTATCCAGCTGCCTCTAGGACATGACGAGAGGTGCCTGTACAGCATCTCACACTCCAGGTGTACTCCTTTCCATTACAGGATGTGGCAACTGCAAGTTGCTAGTCGCTTAGACATACAACAGTAGATGGTTCACAACTCCCCCTCTTCACACACACATCCAACTTGTCTACAAATCCGGCCAGCTTAGCCTTCAAATACAGCCAAAATCCAAGCACTTCTGTTATCTCGCCAGCTGCCACTGTCTCCTGCTGTGCATTTTACCTGTCTCTGCTTCTACCTTTGTGCACTACTCTTTCTAATACATCAGCTCAAAAATCTTCCAGCACCTTCTTCCCTTAGTGGTAATACAAAGCCTAACATCTTACAAGGCTCTACAGACGCTGTTCTCTGGCCACACCCTGTCTGCCTCCGCCATTGCTGTTGGAGTCAGCAATGGTGGAGGCGCTCATACTGGCTGCCTTAGTCAAACTTTCTTCCCATAGGTATCTTCATGGCTCACACCCTCACTTCCTTTAGATCTTCTTTCAGATCTCCAAATGTCATCTGCATATCCCCAGACCACTTCAATTAAAAGACACGTCTCTCCTTGTCTCGCCAGCACCCACATCCTCACATTATTCATCACCACCTGGCATACTCTATGTTAGTGATCTTTTGTTCCTTACTTTATTCCTAGTACCCAGAACAGTGCCTGGCACACAGAAGGTGCTTGAAAAAGTATCTGTTGAACAAATGAATGGTGAATGTGCATGCTAACTGGAAATCACTTTAATTATCAGGCACTTTATATACCTCGATGTCAGAAAACACTTTCCCCCACTTATTCCTTCAATCTCACAATATTTATCAATTCACCATTTACCTGCTTTTTTCATTATCAATAATTCATCTTATTTGTTTTTGAGGCAGGGTCTCACTCTGTCACCCAGGCTGGAGTACAGGGGCATGATCTTGGCTCACTGCAGCCTTAACCTCGTGTACTCAAGTGATCCTCCCACCTCAGCCTCCAAGTAGCTGGGAGCATAGGTGGTTCGCCACCATGCCCAAGTAATTTTTTTGTACACTTTATAGAGATGGGGTTTTGCCATGTTGCCCAGGCTGGTCTCAAAGTCCTGACCTCAAGTGATCTGCCTGCCCTGGCCTCCCAAAGTGCAGGGATTACAGGCATGAGCCACTGCACCCGGCTATACATTTTATTTTTAGTCTTTTAAAACTGATCATAAGAATGAACGGGGTCTAGGATAATTTATACTCAAAATGGGGTTCGAGTATAACTGTTGTGGAGTGATAAAATAATTGACCCAGCCACAGTCCAGAAGGCACCTGTAGAGGAGGGGCACAGAAACATAGTAACTAGTGTTCCTCAGATGGAATCTGCTATTACCTATCAGCCCCCACAAGCGAAGGATGGGAAACAGCTTTCCTCATAGAAATACTGAACGAATTCTGGTCTGTTTCCTAATGTTTTCCTGTCCCCTCCTCTCTTGGTATAGTCCTAGAATTCTCTAACCAATCCCTGAATTTCACATTCTTAAACAATGCTTCTTCCTCTAGAACCAAAGCCTTCCTTAAAGACATCAGTGAAGAGCAGACATTCAGAGAAAGGGAGAGGCAGAGAACTCGTTTTAAGGACTGGCAGGGAAGGAGGGCTGTGCATGCAGACCCTCTCTGTGCGGTCAGGGTTGCATGCATAAGGATGTTGGGAGAGGAGATAAAAACTGATTTCATTGGCAGAGTTGCCACTTGTGACCCTCTGGAATTTGTTCTGAAGCCACCAATAATCAGCCATGACTGACAATAGCCTTTCTTCCAGGAAGGTCAAGGACAAGGACAGTCCTGGGACGAGGGCTATGAGGATATGCATTGTGTCAGCTGAAAGATGGCTCCTGCCTCGAGAGTGCTGCAACAGGTAGTGGAGGCAGAGAGAGGCTAGACCTTGGATTCGGAGGTTGGGACCCTTCCGGCTTTGTCATTTCTTCTTTGGGCCTCAGTCTCCCCATCTGAAAAGGGGGTGAGAAGTTGCTAAACTATAATATCTTTTTAGTTTTAAAGTTTAAGATGTATATTCTGCACTAACTTATTCCTCACTTTATTCTCCTCACCCACCTTATCTACAATTTGTAAGCACAATTCTAAAAAGTTTAGATCTGTTTTTCTCTTGTTTATCTTAGTGGCAGAAAACGGGCTTTCTGCATAGCCCTAGAAGTTTTTTTTTTTTTTTTTTTTTTTTTAAGAGACAGGGTCTTGCTCTGTCTACCCACGCTGGGTGCAATGGTGTGATCGTGCTCACTGCAGCCTCAAACTCCAGGGCTCAAGTGATCTCTTGCCTCAGCCTCCTGAGTAGCTGAGACTATAGGATGCACCACCACCTCTGGCTTTACATTTTGTAGAGATAGTGTCTTGCTATGTTGCTTGCTATGTTGCCAGACTGTTCTCAAACTCCTGGGCCTCAAGTGATCCTCCACCTCAGCCTTCCAAAGCAATGGGATTACAGAGGTAAGCCACTCTTCATCTGGCCCTAGTGTTTTAAACAGACCAAAATTTGTCCCATTTTTCTATGGATATAGCACAATTTCAAACATGAAGACCCAGTCTAGCAAGTCTTTGCTAAGGCGGTTTTGAGATCTTGGGCATTAAAGGCACGGCTGAGCAAGTTGATAAATGCCTTTGTCTTG